AGCACATTGCAGTAGTCCAAGTGAGTTCCCCCACTCTGTACCACAGTGTGTAAAAAGTGCACATATGACAATTTCACATATGATGTACACATTTTGAGCTGCATAGAGCTACGTTATCATCATTTGGGGTCGTTTATATGTCTTGGCCCATATAGCTCAATATTGTCTACATCAGTGGTTCCTCTGGGCAACCCTTTCACAATAAAAATTTGCTCATGCCAGACTGATTTTTAATTGATAAGAAATACATGAGGCAGGGAGACAACAAGCAGTGCTTGATTTATAACATAGAAGACAACTACTTTATAATATGATCATGGGACATGGTGGCTTCATTATGTACCTTTAGGTGCCAGGCAAAAACATTCCTCTTTAATCAGGCCTTTGGTTGCCCTTTTAAGGTGTGGGGGTTTTTTGGGGTGGGGGTGTTCTTCAGTTGTTTCTGTTTTTATTTTGATTATGTGTTCTGTGTTTTAATATTGTAATTTCACCCTGTGAAACGCCCTGAGACCTGTGGGTACAGGTCAGTATATAAATTATTATTATTATTATTATTATTATTATTATTAACAATGCAGCTACATAAGAACACAAATTGTTCCTAAAATATAATTATAAATGATCCTCTTACATATTTACCTCAAGCAGTGCTTTTTTTCTGGGGGGACACATTTTGTGAATCTTTGTACTTTTGTCCATTTACTGTATTTATTTTTCCTGATATGAACTATAAAATTGTGATTTTCTTAAAACAAAATGAGAGTACCCCTAAACATTTTTAAAGGGGAAAAAAGCACGGACCTTAAGTATGTATACAAACTCAGTGAGAGGTGTGAACTTGCTTTTGCTGGGTAATCTCATTTATATTAGGCCTAATTTGAGACAAACAAACTCTCATCTCCTCATCAACACAAAGAATCTTTGCTCTTGCTCTCATTTTCAAAAAATATCTATCCATATTCTGAATAATAATAATAATAATAATAATAATAATATTTTGATACTCTACCATACTACACTGAAATGTTTAAATGCTTCTTTGATGTTCCTTGAATCTTCCTGCCACACTTGCCATTCTCTCCTGCCACACCCTTTGAGAAGCTCTGGTCTACATTGGCTGGCAGCCACCCTGCAAGGCTTCAAACTGGGGTCATTCCCAGTACAGTGGATGCTCGGGTTGCGAAAGTGATCCGTGTGGGAGGCAGCACCGCATCTGTGCATGCGCAGGTCATGATTCGGCACTTCTGCGCATGCACAAAGTGTGGTTTAGTGCTTCTGTGCATGCGTGAGTGCCGAAACCCGGAAGTAATAATAATAATAATAATAATAATAATAATAATAATTTATTATTTATACCCCGCCCATCTGGCTGAGTTTCCCCAGCCACTCTGGGTGGCTCCCAATCAGTGTTAAAAACAGTACAGTGTTTTTAACAGTACAGTACAGTAACCCGTTCCGGTACTTCCGGGTTCAGCGCAGTGTGCAACCCGAAAATGCACAACTTGAAGCGTCTGTAACCCGAGGTATGACTGTACTGGGGGTCCCCAGATCTGCTGTACATTGAACCCGGGGTGTTCTGAACAAGTCAAGGAGTTAGGGAAAGAGCAGAGCAGCACAGCAGAGACCCAAAAGGTACCAACTAAATGAGCAGAGCAGTCATAAGAAGGGAGGAGAGCAGGACAACCACAGCCCTATGCCCATTTTCACTTGTCCACCCCCACCACAACCAGCCAGCAATTGTCTGCTATCATACTCCTTTTTTCAATGGGAGTACGCTGGGAAAGCACTTAAAGCAAAAGAGATGGGTACAGCAGGGAGGGTGGCTGTAACTTCTCCACACATGTGGTTATACTTTATGAGTCAGCAAGCCTTTTCTTTAAGCAGCTACCAGGGAAACTTTAAGTCCTACCAGGGGAAGCTGTGAAAGTAGTGGTAGGCAAAAATAAGTACTTCCTCCACACAGAATGAAGTTGAACTACGGAATTCACTCCCCAGAGAGGCAACGATGGCCACTGAATTGGATAGCTGTGAAAGTGGATTGAACAAATTCATGGAGGACAAGGCTATCAGTGGTTAGCAGCCATGATCTAGCACACGGTTAGATGTAAGGTAAAGGTAAAGGGACCCCTGACCATTAGGTCCAGTCGTGGCTGACTCTGGGGTTACGGCGCTCATCTCGCTTTATTGGCCAAGGGAGCTGGCATACAGGTTCCGGGTCATGTGGCCAGCATGACTAAGCTGCTTCTGGCAAACCAGAGCAGCGCACGGAAACGCCATTTACCTTCTCACCGGAGTGGTACCTTTTTATCTACTTGCACTTTGACATGCTTTTGAACTGCTAGGTTGGCAGGAGCAGGGACCGAGCACCGGGAGCTCACCCCATTGCGTAGTTTTGAACCGCTGACCTTCTGATTGGCAAGTCCTCAGCTCTGTGGTTTAACCCACAGTGCCACCCACATCCCTCTCTGTTAGAGGTAGTAGGACTCTAAATAACCAGTTGCTAGGAATCACAAATGGGAACAGTGATGTTGCATGCAGGTTTGACTTGAGTTCTTAGAAAGCCAATGTACATTATTAGCAATGTAGATGTTCCCCTATAACTAAGAAATCCCTTGTGCCTCCTTGTACACTCTCCCTTTGAACAATTGTTCCAAATTGTTTTTGGACTTGAATCACTAAGCCACTGTGTGGTTATAGGAAAATTCTCACTAGTCAAATTAGTATCAATATCTGCAAGGGATGGAGGTGGGGCAAGCCTGTATTTTCATTTGCACGCTGTAATTTCCAGACTCAACATTGCTTATATGGGACCAGGTGCAGCAAACATTTGGCCCCCTCCAGATGTTGCTGAACTGCAACTCCCATCAGCTCCAGCAAGCAAGCATGGCCAATGGCCAGGGATGATGGAAGTTGTTAGTTCAGCAACATCTAGAGAGCCAAAAGTTCCATACACCTGTATTAGATGGTCATGATTTGATTACTGACCCACACATGTGACACAGTGAATCAGTGGGAGGTTGGGTGTCACGAATCAGTGTTGTTGCATGACATCTGCTGGGTCACTTATAATTGAGACAGGGATTAGAAACACCTTTGGATATAAGCTCTCTTTAGAAACCATCTTTTGAAACTGTAAATCGGTACTCTCCTGAACCAATTACCCCTATCGTTCTACATGCAAACTTAAATTCGCAGGTCTAAGCTGCTCCTGGGTGAACCTCACCAAGATTCTCCAAGTGTGTAAACCTCAGCTCTGTTTAAAATGGGCATGCCAATTTTTTTTTCCACGCGGTGTTCAAGATAAACACTTACTAATCCAAACAGAAACATCTGATTTCAGTCAGCGGCACATGCTTCATGTGCTCAGAGCTGAGTTTCATTGACAGTGACTTTATTTCTTTCTAAAGCTCCACTGTACGGAGCCAGGCAATTGGCAATTTGGAAAAATACAGCAATATATATTTGGTGCCTCTTGGGATACATTTCTGACAAAGTAACTGGAGAAGGGCTGCAGCCTAGTGAAATAGCATCTGCTTTGCATACAAAAGATCCCAAGTCCAACTCAAGGCACCTCCAGGCAGGGCTGGGAGGGAACTTTGCCTAAAATCCTAAAGAGAGCTGCTGTCATTCAGTGTAGACAATGTTGATATAGCTGGACCTGGCTTCCCAGGCTCCCATTATGCAGCAAACTGATTAATTTTCAACAGGTTTCAGTTGGTGTATTTGCTACCACTGACCCCGTTAGGGAAGTTAATTCTATTTTCTTGGGTAGAGAGGAAAAGCAATTGGGCTAAAATGCATGGGGAATCTATACCCCTCCAGTTGTTGTTGGACTACAGTTCTCATGATCCCTGACCATTGACTATGATGGCAGTGGCTGATAGGAGCGGAGGACCAACCCCCTCCCCTAATAGTAATAATATTAGTAATAATTTTATTTGTATCCCACCCATCCGACTGGGTTGTCCCAGCCACTCTGGTGGCTTCCAACAAATATAAAAGCATAATAAAACATCAAACATTAAAAACGTCCCTATGCAGCACTGCCTTCAGATGTCCTCTAAAGATAGTACAGTTACTTGACATCTGATAGGACGTTCCCTTGAACATGAAATTATAATGTGTCTATTACTTTCATTTTCCCATATCCTCTCCCAAATAGCCAGAGGCCTGGCATGATGGGACTTGCAGTTCAACAATATCTGGAGAACATAAGAAGAACCTAATGGATCACACCAGTGGCTCATCTAATCTAGCATCCTGCTGCCACAGTGGCCACCCAGATGCCAATGGGAAACACTCAAGCAAGACTGGAGCAAAAGGGCACTCTGCCCTCCTGTGGTTTTCAGAAACTGGTATCACTGCCACCAACTGTCAAGGCAGAACATAGTCACCATGGCTATCATGCCTACTAGGTTCATAAATAGCAACACCCTAGAGGTCCCGGGCCCTAAGGAAGTTAGATTAGCCTCAACCAGAGCCAGGGCCTTTTCAACACTGGCTCCGGCCTGGTGGAACGCTCTGTCTCATGAGACCAGGGCCCTGCAGGATCTGATTTTTTTCCGCAGGGCCTGTAAGACAGAGTTGTTCCACCTGGCCTTTGGCTTGGAATCAACTTGATCCCCTCCCCCTCTTTCCTCTTTCCTTTTTCCTTTCTCCTTCTGTGATGGAACTCCTATTTGGGGACTTCCCTGGCTTTTTTCTGGCCCACGTAGGACCAGTCTGGATAGTTGGCCTTGGTGAAGATTTGACATTTTCATCCCCAAAAAGTTTTGATTTGAGTTTCTATTGAAATGAGGCTGCATTTAATGTTGTATTTTAATCTTGTTTTTAAGTTGTATCTTAATCAGTTGTTTTATATCTGGTGTTAGCCACCCTGAGCCCAGTCTTGGCTGGGGAGGGCGGGGTATAAATAAAATTTATTATTATTATTATTACTAGTTCCCTATCTCTGGACTATAATGTCAGCATTGCCACAAACACACTGTTTCTTCTAGTACCTGAGCAGAAACTGTTGCTGCTGATGGTCCTTGCAGACCCTCCAGAAGAGCTGAGGGGGTGGAATTCTCTGCTTTCCTCCTCCGAGAAGGGTGACTCGGACGCCGGGGACACTTTCTGGTGGCGGAGCTGCTGCTGGGGAGATGAGGCCGGAGGACCAGGCGAGGAATGCGGCTGCGGCAGATCTCCTTGTCCTGCATTTTGTGCTCCTTCCAATGACAGAGACAACGGGCACATCAGTCCATGCATATTTCCCAGCCCTTGCCCCACCCAAAGGTCTGGCTCAATGTATGGAGTCAGCAGATCAGCTAAAACCCCTGGATAGCTCAGTTGGCTAGAGCATGGGGCTGATAACGCCCAGGTTGCAGGTTCGATCCCCATACAGGACAGCTGCTTATTCCTGCATTGAAGGTGGTTGGACTTCAATGATCCTTGGGGTCCCTTCCAAATGGGTATGATCCCCACCAAAAACTGCTTCTGCTCAGGTGGAGCTGCCCATGGACAGCATTCCAGTTGGCCACAGTGAGCCACATGGAAGGGCCATCTCAATGGTACAAGAGCTGCTGGATGAGGGCAATGGCCTATCTTGTTTAGCATCCTGTTCTCATTGTGGACAAGCAGATGTCTGTAGGAAACCCTCAGCAAGAAACCCAAGCACAAGATTACTCTCCCATCCTGTGGTTTTCAGAAACGGGTATTCAGAAGCATGGCTGGCCTTCAACTGTGGAGGCAGAACATAGTCATCGTGGCTAGTAGCTAAAATCCTGGACCTAAAATTCTGGACTCAGTACAAAGCCAGATGGACGGGCTGGATATTTCTTATCTTATTTCCTTGATGTAGACTGAAACTACACTGATGATGAACATGATGCAGTGGTACCTCGGGTTCAGTACTTAATTCATTCCGGAGGTCTGTTCTTAATCTGAAACTGTTCTTAACCTGAAGCATCACTTTAGCTAATGGGGCCTCCTGCTGCTGCCACGCCACTGGAGCATGATTTCTGTTCTCATCCTGAAGCAAAGTTCTTAGCCTGAGGTACAATTTCTGGGTTAGCGGAGTCTGTAACCTGAAGCGTATGTAATCTGAAGTGTATGTAACCCGAGGTATCACTGTACTAAGGTTCTGTGCAAAATAAATGCCAAGCACATTACCTCCCGCCAAGAATCCTGGCAGCTATAGTTTGTTAAGGGTGCTGGGAATTGTAGCTCTGTGCAGGTTAGACGATGTGCTTTAAATGTATGTCGTTCACACATCCTAACTGTGGTTCTGCCCATGCGGAAGCGATTTGTAGCGGCTGTTATGCTACTGCTGAACTGAGCAAGGCTAAAAACGAGGCGAGAATGTGGGAAATGTCACATGCAGACATTGATGTGGCAAGCATCTTTGCAAGCATATGTATTCGTCACATGGTCTACTTGCTAGGAAGATGCGATTTGCTGCTGCTGAGGCAACTCCGTCATAATGTGCAAAATGGCTCGCAGAGCTTTTCCAGCAATCTGTAAATGCTGGAGTTTTGCTCTTGTGCAACAGTCCGACATATCGCCATAAAAAGCCCCCTCTTGTATCCACACCTAGCAGATGGGGGTTAGCCTTGTTCGATCAATATGTGCATGTGAGTATCCACACAGAAGTGCACTCCCCTGCCGGAGAGGTAGAAAAAAAGCAGAAGTCAACAGCTAAAAGCGAAAGGTTTGCCAGACGGGAGATGCACAGATCCTATGCAGAGACTACCGAGTACCAGCACTGCAATTACTGTACTAAAATTGGATCAGCTGGAAAAGCACTGAAAGGCAATTATCACAGCCGTTTGCAGCATCCTTGCCACCTGTATCGGTTACAGCCCCCAAGAGGTTCCGGCAAATGCAAAGGGGGTGGGGGAAGGAATGCCCAAAGAAAATGGGGGTTCTGGTCAGTCTTCCCAGCTTTGGGGTGACGTAATTGTGAGCTAGGTCTCTCCCTGCTCCCCCCCCCAAACCTCCACTCCAGAGAAAAATCTGCGGCAGGGGCACAGCAGCAGTGATGATGTCAGACTCCATCAGAGATGGACTCGAGGGACACTCTTCTGGGTGATGCTGTTGCAAGGAAGGTGGGGAGGGCGAGAGACACCCTTCATCTCCCCATTGCTTGGGGATCCCCCACTTATGAATTTCCTTCACCCCGATCCCTTGCCTTTGCCCCACACATCCCCATCCACCCTATTCGACTTCACTTCCTCAAATAAACACACACACCCTGAATCCCACAAATTTTGCCTTAATGATGTCAGACTCCATCAGGGGCGGACTCAGCAGCGTTTGCTCTTTTAGCGTCTGTTGCTGGGCATTTTAGAGATGAGGGGAGGGGAAAGTGAAAATATCCATCATCCCACTTTTCCCGCTGGTGTATCCTAGTCTTAAACACCGCTCTTGCCTTAGCCAAAGCTTGAACCCCGGTGCCAGCACATACAGCACCCCGCATTCACCCGCACACATTATGGCAAGTATTCACACGTACACGCGACACACCGAACGCGTGTCTTTGGGGCTGCACGTGCACGGACCTGCACTCACAAACGCACATCCTGGTTTCCTCATCCTCCTCGCCAGCCCCACCGGTGAGCCCTCTTACCTCACCTGGCGGCTCTCCCCAAGGTGTCCCATCCCGCCCCGTCCCACCTGCGAGCCCCTCCGCCGTGCGCCCACCTTGCTGCTTTCCCGGAGGGGTCCCATCCCGCCTGGACCCGGCGACGCAGCTGCGGTGGGAGGTGGCGCGGGGCACTGAGCTGCTGGCCAGGGGAGGAGGCAGAGGCGAGGCGCCGTCAATGCCGCAGCAGCCTCCTCGCTCGCTCGCCCTCCTGCCTGCCTGCCGCTGCCTCGCTCGCTCCCTTGCTAGCGCGCAGCAGCTCCAGCCCTGCCCAGCCCGAGCGCTGCCTCGCCCCGCCCTGACACGTGGAGCCGCCGTTGCCGCCGGCTGCTTCTGCCTGCTCCGCTTGGCTGCCTGGCGCTGCTGCAGCCGTGGACGCCTCCTGGCAGAGGGCAGAAGCGCCGCGGGGAGGGAACCGAGGGGCGCTTCGGTTTGCTTTGGGGAGGGAGCCTCTTGCGCCCACTTCTTTCTCTGAGCAGCGCGCGGTGTCGTCTCAGAATCATAGAACTGTAGAGTTGGAAGGGACCCCCCAGGGTCATCTAGTCCACCCCAATTGCAAGAATCTCAACTAAAACATCCATGACGGATGGCCCGTCCAACCTCCAAGGAAGGAAGGTTTTCGTCTTGGAGCGAAGCGGAGATCTCAGGTGTTTGAGAAATCAGCTGAGAACAAGCAGTACTGTCAACACGCGCCTGTAACTACCGTACTTTATTTTATTTTTTAATGGAAGAAGTACATGGAGTTTGCCAACCCAGTCGCCTCCATTTCTAAAGGATTGAAGTCTGCCATCTTTCAAACAAATACAGTGGTACCTCGAGTTGAGAACTTAATTCATTCTGGAGGTCCGTTCTTAACCTGAAACTGTTCTTAACCTTTAGCTAATGGGGCCTCCTGCCACCGCCCCCGCAGAATTTCTGTTCTCATTCTGAAGCAAAGTTCTTAACTTGAGGTACTATTTCTGGGCTAGCGGAGTCTGAAATGTGAAGCATCTGTAACCGGAGGTACCACTGTAGTTGCATCATAGATTTTGATGGTGGATTTGATGCCCTTCACTATGGTAATTTGCAGGAACGTGACACACAATTTTTATTTGTTTGTATTTATTTATTGCATTTCTATCCCACCTTTTGCCTCTCCAAGGAGCTTGAGGAGCTTCCTCATTTAACCCCCAGAACAACCTTGTAAGGTAGGCTGGGCTGAGAGGGAAGGGACTAGCCCAAGGTCACCCAGTGAGCTTCATGGCCAAGTGGGGATTTGACCCTTGGTCTCTGCCAGGTCTTTGTCCATGGAGTTTTCTTGGCAGGGATACTAGAGTGGCTTGCCGGTTCCTGCTCCAGGTGGATCAAACCTATCCATTCTTAAGGAAATCAGCCCTGAGTGCTCACTGGAAGGACAGATCCTGAAGCTGAGACTCCAATACTTTGGCCACCTCATGAGAAGAGAAGACTCCCTGGAAAAGACCCTGGTGTTGGGAAAGATGGAGGGCACAAGGAGAAGGGGACGACAGAGGACGAGATGGTTGGAGAGTGTTCTTGAAGCTACAAACATGAGTCTGACCAAACTGCGGGAGGCAGTGGAAGACAGGAGTGCCTGGCATGCTCTGGTCCATGGGGTCACAAAGAGTCGGACTAAACTACTAAACAACTAAATGACTAAACGACTAAACAACAACAACAACTCTGCCAAGTCCTAGTCCAGCTCTCTAACCACTACACAATATAGATAGCACGGGGGCTGGGCTGGCCACCTTTGGTGCCCCCTCAATGCCAATTATACCACCACCCCCAGCAGTCCTGCTGCGGCCACCACCAGCTTTCATTCTTAGGACCACAGGAAGCTGCCTTACAAATGGAAGTGTCTCTCCAATGCCACAGGCAGGGGACACTCCCAGTCTTACCTGGCGATGCTGGAGGGGATTGAACCTGGGCAATTACACATGCAAAGAGATGCTCTGTCCCTGAGCTTCAGCCTTCCCCATTCCCAAGAGGGTGGAGCAGCTGGCAGCCTCCTTGAAAAGCGGTTCAACATTCTTTTACTTTTCAGGATTGCCCAGAAAGAGCAACAGCAACAGCCCTGTAAGAGGCAGGGAGCTGAGCAGCTACTGTGCTCCCTAAGACATTTGCTGGACAGCTTCCTTACTATCTAGAGAAGGTATCTGAAGAAGTGTGCATGCACACGAAAGCTTATACCAAGAACTAACTTAGTTGGTCTTTAAGGTGCTACAGGAAGGATTTTTTTATTTAGAGAAGGATGGACAGAGAAGCAGATGGGGATCAGCTGCTGGGCTCTGGGTGATTTGCAGTGGTTCAGCAAGGATTTCCAACCGCCAATTAACCACAGCAGCAGCAGCAACAACAACATGGCCCTAAATTGCGTAGCTGAAATGAACAATGTTTGCAGTCTTCAGGCAAGGATTTGTGTGTGTGCAATCTCCATTCTGTTTTGGTACTTGGAAAAAAACAGATTCCCTGACATCATGTAATTCTTTTCTCTGGTTGCTTTTCTTCTCAGATTGCTGATCAGCTACTGTAAACTTTGTGTGGCATCCTTCCTGACATGCTGGTTTTTCCATTCTCTTTTTGGAGGTTTGCATACTCTAAGCATAAGGAGCCTAATTAAAAGGGTCTTGATCCAAAAGTGGATCATGCAGTTTTGAGGACTCCTGAGAAGGGCTTTTATCCAGAGGAGTCCTACAAAGTGCCTGAAGCATTTTTGTAATGAATATGGCTCTTTTTAAAATTAAAACACACACAAATAAACTGAAACCCTTTCAGAACTTCATAGTCCTTTTCTAGCTATTTTGTAACTCATGACATAACATGGTAACAAAAGCAATTATTAACAGTTGACCATCCCAAACTCTCAGTGTGTGTGTGTGTGTCTATATTTTGTGCTTGGCTCTGGCTGGTAGATCTCAGGGTTCTAGTCCAAAACTACAAGAAGAATAGACCCTGCAAGCCTGAAGCCTGCCACCCACTCCTAACAAAGAGTACTTATTGGTCTGCTGGATAGCTCCTTGGGCTTCCTGGGTAAGGTGAAATTTTGAGCCATGTGGCAGGGGTGGGAGAAATGGAACAGCTCCTGTCAGCCTTTCAATCCAGCAGGAAACCATGTAATAATAATAATAATAATAATTTTTTATTTATACCCCACCCTCCCCAGCCAAGGCCGGGCTCAGGGCGGCTTACAAGCAATAATAAAAACAAGAAGAATGATTACAACTTAAAAACAAAAATAAAATACAACATTAAAATAATGGAACATTAAAATATTAAAATGTAGCCTCATTGCAGGAGGAGAAGGAAAAGAAAAAAGAGAGGGAGGGAGGGAATCAAATTGGCTCCAAGCCAAAGGCCAAGCGGAACAACTCTGTCTTACAGGCCCTGCGGAAAGAAATCAGATCCTGCAGGGCCCTGGTCTCATGAGGCAGAGCGTTCCACCAGGCCGGAGCCAGAGTTGAAAAGGCCCTGGCTCTGGTTGAAGCCAATCTAACTTCCTTAGGGCCTGGGACCACTAGGGTGTAGAATTGCAGATCATGTGAACTGGGACAGGACATATTCTGAAGAGGTCAGTTGTGTTAGTAAAGGCTCCACAAAGACGTGCAATTTCACATAATCCCTGCAAGTAGCTTTGCTCACTCCTACAGGTGGGCATTTGGGTAGCATTGCACATCTGAACAGGGGCACTGATGTACTACACTAAATTGTGACTTCTGAATTGTGCCAAATGTTAGGGTGTGAAACCTAAGACGCTGGCAAGTTAGCAATGTCATGTGACTTTAAGTAGTCAAGCTCGTTAAGTTGTTAAGTTGCTCAGTATATAAAGAGTGTTTGTTTTCTCTGCCTGTGGGGCGTGAAGCAAAAATGTCTGAAAGCTCCGGAGGTGTTTCTGTTATCTTTCTGCAATAAACCTGTCTTTGGAAAGACAGGCTTCCCTGTGTCGTTATTTCTTTGCTGCTGAGACTCTGAAGCTTGTACTGCAACAAGAATCTCTGCACTGGACTTAATTAATGCTCTGCAAAGAGAACTGTTGCTGGTGGCGCAGCGGAAGTGTTTACTGGACCAGTACACAGACTCTCTTAGGTTATGGCTCCTTCTACGTTTCTACAGCTGTATTGTGTGCAGAGAAAGTGAAAGCAGCTTTCGGATGAGAGAAGACCGGCTTGGTCGTAAATCCAGCTCTTAAAGGAACTGAGAGGCTGCAGAAAGTTGAGAGAGCTGCGTAAGTGAAGATTTACAGCCTCATTAGCTGCAAAAGGCTAGCTTGACCTCCCGTTGTGTTTTTGTTTTGTTAATAAAAACAGAGGACGGTGGTAGGTTGCTAGTGAGGAGACAGAGGGAAAAAAAAAGTTTAAAAGGCTTCAGAGGAGGCTGGAGGCGTCTGAAAAGTGAGTAAAACAAATCCCAAGGGGAAAGAGAAGCAAGGGCACACAGAGGGAGTAGCAGCAGTCCCCAAGAATGGCAGTGGAAAATTTCCAGGTTCCCTTTACAAAGTTGAACTCTGCTAATTACGTGCAGTGGTCTAAGAGGGCTCAAGTCTGGTTGGAAGCCAAAGAAGTGTGGGCTGACTATGTCCAGAGGCGAAAGCCGTTTGTGGCTGTTGCAGCAGATGCCACAGCAGAGCAACAGGCTGCTGCACATGCTCAGAACAGGGAACATGATAAAATGGACACTAAAGCTAGATGCATGTTGATGGTATCGATAGACGATTCCCAATTACCTCATGTGGAAAATTTAAGGTCTGCATTTGAAATTTGGGAAGCTCTTAGGCGAATTCACCATAGAGCCACGCCCGGAGAGAAGGTGAACATTATACGTGCTTTGTATGAGTTGAAACTGAAGCCAGGGGATAGTGTGGTTGAACACACGTCACAGATGACTGAGTATTTCAACCGACTGTCATCTCTAGGTGTGAATTTTCCTGAAAATATTAAAGTTTATACTCTGCTTAGCAGCCTGCATGCAGGGTTTGAAAACTTAGTACTAACTTTACAAGTTTTGCCAGAGGACCAGCTGAATATGAATTATGTGACTGGTAGATTGTGTGAGCAAGAATATCAACATCATCGAAAACGTATTGATAATTCAAATACCCCAAGGGTTGGATGTTCAGATAATTCCCAGTGTGGGGGAACTAGCAGGCAGAGCTGTAAGGAAGCCTCACAAGTGTCTGCTATGGCCAGCAAGTCATGTTTTCGATGTGGCAGCAGGTTTCATTTGATAGCAAAGTGTCCAGAAAAGCAACAGGAATTTCAACAGTCCAAGGCCAGTTTCCGGAGCTACAGGGGAAGACGACGTGAGAACTACAAGAATCAACGATCCAGAGGGGGAGCAGGTGCTGATAAGGGACTATCTGCAATGGCAGCACAACAGAGTCCTAAAAGGAGCCAACAAACCTTGAAGTGGATAATTGACAGTGGAGCAAGTCACAGTTTAGTTCCAGTGACATCTAGTGGCAGCTTGAGGAACTGCAAGACATTGCCAGTTGCAAAAACTGTGACTGTAGCAGACAATAGTAAACGAGAAATGAACCTTAAAGGCACAATTTATGTTAATTGTTTGCAAACTAACCTTCCTGTTTTTGTTCTTCCAGGAATGAAGAATGGACTTTTGAGTGTGTCATGCCTGGTAAAAAGTGGTTTTAAGGTTGAGTTTGAAAATGATGTGTGCACCATTTCAAAACAGGGGAAGGAGCTAGTTAAAATTCCCTGTGAGGATGGGCTCTTTGTTTTGGATGAAGAGCAGTTAGCAGCAGGTAGATGTTCAACAGGTGAAGCGCAAGCTAAGTGTGTAAATAAGGCTCCTCATACAGGTTGTGCACATCTACTACACAGAAGGTTAGCTCATATATGCTTTAAGTATGTAAGCAAGATGCCAGATTTAGCTGAGGAGTGCTCTAAGTCCATTTCGCTGTCAAACCTTAAATACGGTGTACACATGAATCTCCTCCGAATTATTGAGAAAAACCAAACAATGTGACCATTTGTCAGCTAGTATCATACATTTCAAAGCAGAAGAAAAGATCTTTTCATCCTAGCAGCAAAACACCCCCGAATGATGAGACAATGACAATAAAATGACAAAAAACCCAGGCAGTTCCTAGAAGGCTTCAAATGAACTTTGTATATCAATCAAAGTGTTCAAAGGCTTCCTGATCTTCTAACTACTGCACCAGGCCCCATAGGATGACACTGTCACCTTTTTGTTCGTCTGTAATTTTCTGTTTGTTTTTTAAAAACAACACTTCGTAGTATTTTGCATCATTGCATCTAAACAATTGCAAAGATCTAGCAATCCACATAGCTATGTAAATGTAGGCAAAGTATCTGATTTACAAGCAGTGGGTATCTCACGCAATTTTAGAGACATTCTGACCATCATGAGACAAAGCAAAAGTGATCTTACCTGGCTTTATGAAGCTTGTCTTTGTTTCCTTCTTATATCGAGCCGGCTGTTGAGTTCCATCCCCCATTGTTCCCGAATTAAATTTCTTCCTTGTGTAGTCTCCTCCATCATTGCCTGTACAAAAACCAACTGGACTGTTTCCAGCATCAGGAGGAGTCTTAACTGGAGAGACGGACTGGCTGCTGGGGCAACCTGTGTCATCTGCAAACAGGAGAGCAAAAGCGAAAAATAAAACCAAAATGCGCCACGGGAGAGATCTTTCGTCCGACTGAAAACAGATGATGGAGAACTGTTCTCTTTTAATTATTATTACTACCTGTTAAGTATATCGCACAGCCAATGAAGCATGTGTGTAAATCCTCCAATAGCTAGATAGAGAAGACATTTGCTTTCTGTGGGGGAAATTCTGTGCCTGTATTGAAAAACGTGGAGGGGGCACAGTTTCGGGACAGCAGCTGGTTCCTTGGACGTCTAAAGACCGTGAAAGAAAAAAGCCACCATGGCTTTAACCTGCTGCTTCCTGGTAATGTCAAAGGAGACCTGCTGAACTGTGGATTGATATATAGCTTTTATTTACAACAAGAGCGGTATCTGGTTCAGGGACACAAAAAAACCTCTGCTTTGTAACAGGGGAGGGAATAAGAGAGTGAAAAAGGAGAATTGTCATTGAATAGGCTAGGGAGCATGGGACGCGGGTGGCGCTGTGGGTAAAAGCCTCAGCGCCTAGGACTTGCCGATCGCATGGTCAACGGTTCAAATCCCCACGGCGGGGTGCGCTCTCGTCCTTCGGTCCTAGCGCCTGCCAACCTAGCAGTTCGAAAGCACCCCCGGGTGCAAGTAGATAAATAGGGACCGCTTACCAGCGGGAAGGTAAACGGCGTTCCGTGTGCTGCACTGGCTCGCCAGATGCAGCTTGTCACGCTGGCCACGTGACCCGGAAGTGTCTGCGGACGGCGCCGGCTCCCGGCCTATAGAGTGAGATGAGCGCACAACCCTAGAGTCTGGCAAGACTGGCCCGTACAGGCAGGGGTACCTTTACCTTTACCTTTAGGCTAGGGAGCAAGCCTCCTTAATCTCCAAGAGAATATTATTAGGAGTGTAGATTTGGCTTCTGGGGGAGGGGACACACACCTTGTGACACATGCCCCTGTTCTCCTGCCCCCAATCATCATTCCTTTCAGTGGCAATGCCTCTGTAGCAATCCCTCACACAGTGACAGGATTTTGGAAAGGGAAAGAATCTGTCTTGAGGGATGTGTCTGCGCCACGTGTCTGCACCTCACGCGTCCCCAGTCTGGAAGGGGAAAAGCGACAGCCTCTCAAATAAGCAGGTGACCGGGGGTGGGGCTGTCACTCTGAGGACAGCCCTACTATTTGGCATATGAGGCAGCAGCCCCAAACAGCAGGTGCTGAGGGTAGGGCCCTCCATCATTCCCCATGTGATTCCTATTCTACCATTTCCCATTGCCATTTGAGAAGTAAGATTCAGTTGCCTGCCTGGTGGGATTCTGTAAGCGGAAAGGAGGTGTCTATGTGGTGCTATCTTGTCCTTTTCCTCGGGCATCAAACTGACTTGGTCAAGCCTCCAAGCAGCTTGCTACTCTCAGCTCCTGGGGAGATTCCAGGTCCAGTATACCTGAAGGAGCATCTCCACCCCCATCGTTCTACCCAGATACTGAGGTCCAGCGCCGAGAGCCTTCTGGTGGTTCTCTCTCTGCAAGAAGCCAGGTTACAGGGAACCAGGCAGAGGGCCTTCTCAGTAGTGGCACCCGCCCTGTGGAACGCCCTCCCATCAGATGTCAAAGAGATAAACCACTACCTAGCATTTAGAAGACATCTGAAGGCAGCCCTGTTTAGGGAAGCTTTTAATGTTTAATAGACTATTGTATTTTAATATTCTGTTGGAAGCCACCCAGAGTGGCTGGAGAAACGCAGCCAGATGGGCGTTGTCAGGGCCGCCTCAGGTCCCAGCTCACAAGAGACCAACACCAAGTCCACTTTATTTACAAAAGTCTTTATTGAAGTACATTGTTTGCTCCACAGCCGAGGCGCGCAGCCCCACGTCTGTTACGCTTAGACCGCTGAAGTCCCCTCTGAATCAGTCCCGCCTCCACACCAGTTTAAGAGGCTTCTGCTGGTCCACCTCTTCCTGTCCTTCCTTTTCTGCAGGGTCTTTCTGCCCCCCTGGGTTCCTTCCCTCCTGCTTTCCCCTGACGCTGAGTCCCCAGACGCCTGCTCCCCCCTCCTCCGTGCTTTGGGACCAGGCTCCTCCTCCGGGCTCTCCGCATTTCCGCGCGCCTCCACATTTGAACTTGGCGCGCGTTCGCTACCTCTGACCTTCCTCTTGACAGCTACACTACTCTCTGTACTACTCTCCGCCCCTTCCGGCAGGACGTCTTGCCCCGATCTCCTTCCCCTCTCTGCTTCCTGCTCTGCTTCGTCTGTCACACTGGGAACTCCACCCTCTTCACTCCGTTCCGGCGGGGAAGCCGGCCCCGATCTCCCACTCCCACTCGGGATTTCCCTGCTGCTCCCCTGCTCCTGACGAGTCCCCCCTGTGGCTCCCCTTGGCCTGACCAGGGGCGCCCCCTTTTGGGAATCCTCCGATTCACTTGAAAGACTCATGGAAACCCTCAAGTCATTGTCATCCTCCTCTTCCTCATTCCGGGATTCTTCCCCCTCGCTCTCAGTCTCCTCCCTCATCTGTGCCTCTCTCCCTGAACCCCTGACAGGCGTGGTATAAATAATAAATTTCTTCTTCTTCTTCTTCTTCTTCTTCTTCTTCTTCTTCTTCTTCTTCTTCCTCCTCTTCTTCTTCCTCTTCTTCTTCCTCCTCCTCTTCCTCTTCCTCTTCTCTGACAGCATCAGAGCAGCATGCGCACCTCTCAATTTCCACCTGTTTATTGTGGGGATGGTGCAAAGAGCTTTTCTGCTCATCCCTGATACCTTTCTGCTGCACCACCTCCAGTTAGGCACCCTGGATCCCCAAATCTGGATATGATGTTGTTGTCGGCATCCGTATCTCTCAAGAGGCAATGGAGTGTGCCTCTGGGGTAAAGTCAAATTGCTGTGTGAGCAGAACCTAAGTGGCCTCCCTTGGGTTGCAAGCCTGGGCAGTGTGTATGGAGGTCCAGGGCTTCCCAGATGACAAGACAAGTCTTGCTCTTGTTGACGTGGTCCAAAGGAAAGCAGAGCAAATGTTTGGCACCAGCTTGGTTGCAAGAGTTACCAGAAGGAGGTCACTTCCGAATATAGGGGAATGATTCCTCTAATGCATCATTCAATATTCTCCCATTCATATTTTCCAATCAAGCCAGTATTTCTCTCTGCCTAGAAAAGTGATGATGGCACAAGGGCAACTGGTACAATTTGAGAAAACAGTGACTGGGTGAAGGAACATCTCCAAAGGGTAGAATCAGCAATATAGAAATTGCTATGGAGAATGAATTCGGGTGGAGTTCTGATCTTAATGGGACATGGGAGAGAGAATTTGGTTTACAAACTGAAGGCGGCTAGAAGACTAGAATCAGATCTGGTCCAATTGCCTCCATTTAAATTGATATCACCCCACAATTGTTCACAAGGAATATCGAACACCACAGATATGTTCCTTTATTAATACAGGGTCCTCCCAGTTCTGTTAAGGGGATTGGTGTGCAATACCTACATTCTGAGCCTCCGGGGCCGGATAAGACAGCCCTGGCGGACCAGGTTTGGCCTGGTGCCTGAGGTTCCCCACCTCTGGCCTAAGGGGCAAGTTTCTACTATGGTCCATCTTCATCCAATTATTTTAAAAGGCGAGTCGTTCCCAGAAGTAGTTTGGGAAAATGCCAAAAAGAGTGGAATGCACATCGATTTCTCTATGTCTCCAAAACGCTAGCCAAGTTTTGTTTTGCTTTGTTTTTAAAGCACAAGCTTCCCTGGTGTGCAACCAAGTTTAGGAAACCTGCGAAGTTTGGAAATGGCTTAGGAGAGCTGTAAGCTAGATGCGTTTGCTGACAGCCTGGTCAAAGTAAACAGAGCAGGTGTTGGCAACAAGCTGCTGCGTTACAGGGAATCATATTTCATTAGCAAAAGGGAAAGCCTTCAAGACCTACAGCACAGTTTTCCAGGTTTCTTTTTCATAGGAGGGACTGGGATTCTTTGTTCCAGTGGGGAGGGTAGAAGACCTTCGAAAGAGAATTTGCAGGAGTCAATGCAGACTATGTTCATATTCAGTCTAGAAGTGCTTCCTGACAATCTGGTCAGAGCACTGAACGCTCGCCAATTTCATATCCCTCTTTTTCAAGGAACATCTTTAAAGCACGATTATATAAAGCATGTGCAAAGTATCTTCTGTCACCATGAATCATAGAACTGTACATTTGGGAGGGACCCCGAGGGTCAACTAGTCCAACCCCATGCAATGCAGGAATCAAGTGCCACCTGTCCTAATAATAATACTTCATATTGCTCATTGAGAGTTTCAGTAGTACCTTGTTGCAATCCTTATTGTTTGGATAATACTGCTAATACTAATACTAATTCATGATACTTCATAATACAGTGGTACCTCAGGTTACATACACTTCAGGTTACATACGCTTCAGGTTACATACGCTTCAGGTTACAGATGCTTCAGGTTACACACTCTGCTAACCCAGAAATAGTACCTCGGGTTAAGAACTTTGCTTCAGGATGAGAACAGAAATTGGGCTCCGGCGGCGCGGCGGCAGCAGGAGGCCCCATTAGCTAAAGTGGTGCTTCAGGTTAAGAACAGTTTCAGGTTAAGTTCGGACCTCCAGAACAAATTAAGTACTTAACCCGAGGTACCACTGTACTTCATCATGAATAATAAAAAATAAAACTTCATATAACACATTTAGGACTCAGCTACATTAGTCAAAAAACTGTGCTTTGGATGCATTATAAACATGCAACACCAGATGGCGCTGGAGAGCAAAAGAAAACCTCTGAGATTTTACATAGCGGTTTTCTTTGGTTATAATGATTTAATTTCTGACCTATTTTTAGTGTGTGTGTGTCCCCCCCCCCCCCGCCCGGGTAGATCTACACTTAGCCTATTCAGAGTTTCAACAGTACCGTGTTGCAATCCTTATTGTCCCCATACTGCAGATGAGAATGTTGTACTTGACTGCTACTTATGTATCACATCCCACAGGGGATACATTCTCCCAAACTAAATCACTGCATAGTTATAGT